CATGCTCACCACCTCCTGTGCTGGCCACACACACATCCTTCACCGAGGACTGACAATCTTAATTGGAGCTTATTTTGGGGGTAGGACTTAAAGTACGAGCATCCTGAAAAATCATGCTAGGGCTTATTTTCTGGTTGGGTCTTATTTTCAAGGAAATGCGGTATATTGCAAAATAAAAGAGTTTTGCCACATATAATCCATACAATGTCAGGGAACTTCAAGTTGTAGCCATCTAGGAATGACAACAAGGAGTCAATATTTTCTCACATATTAATCCAAATTCCCATTATGGCTTTTTGGCAGTAGAATACTGGATTATAGCAGAATAAAAATAGATACTCCATAGCAATTAAGATACAGCTTACAACAATATTAATAATGGTCAGAGTGAACCAGGAAAATATGAGCAAATGGCTGACATGACAGGTTTCAAATACTTCTTGAGACTTCTGATTTAAAACCTTCCATTCATTTGGAGAAAACAAGGGATGACTCTAGCAGAGAAGCTTTTACTGGTAGTCAGAATCAATACGTGGAATCCTCCCTTCTCCACATAACCTGTTAGAGGAGGTCTGACATACAGTAGTGGCCAAAATTGTGGAAACCTTTTGGGACAAGTGTATTTTTGAAGTTTGATGGCTGATAACACTACTTTTTTGGAGTTTCAAGATAATCATATTCCACTGCTGGAATGGCCTGGGAATAGCCCAGTTGAGCCCAATTAACCCAATTGAAAATCTATGGAGCAGACTAAAGAAACTTATTAGTCAAAAGCGACCCAGCAATAAAACCCACTTAATAGAAGCAATCATTCAATCTTGGTTTCACATTATAACAGCTGCAAAACTAAAAGACTTGGTTCACTCCACGGGAAGACATTGTAAGGCCGTCATTCATGCTCAAGGTTACCCAACGAAGTACTAACTGACGTGATAATTTTTGTATATCTCATTTTTTCTATGGTGATAATTTTTGTATATCTTGTTTTTTCTACGTGTTTCACTTTTCTTCTTTATACTGTAACTGCTATTCTAATAGCAAATCTTTCATAAAAGTTATTGCAATACATTCTTGATTAAATTGTCTTTCCATTGATATATAATTTTATGGTACTACTCCCCAAAAAAGTGGTGTTATTAGCAGGGGTGGGTTCTACTTACCTTTACTACCGGTTCGCAATGGGGCTGCGTGCACACTCTTCTGCGCATACGCAGAAGCATTCTGATGATGTCGTGGTTGGTGGGCGGAGCCTCCCACCAGTTTTACTATGGGTTCTATAGAACCGGTGCGAACCGGGGGCAACCCACCATTGGTTATTAGCTAGTTTTAGAAAATACACTTTCCCCAAAAGGTTTCCACAATTTTGGCCACTAGTGTATACTTTTTCTGCCTGATTTGTCTTTGCAAATATTGGTGGAACTTGCCAAAAATATGGTTGTGTAAGGGTTCCTTCCATGTTCTCTTTGGAAGTCTCTTCCATTTTATGTCTTCCCTTGTCTCATTTTTTTTAGTTTCGATTTCCTGTCCAACAAACAGGATTGGCATTATCTGAGTCTGGTCTATTCTCAATGGGATGGAAGTTCTAAAGTTTAACTATTTCTTCAGGTGTTTTTCACTCCTGTAAGCTGATGTTGCCCACTGATTCAGGAATGGTGAACAAAATGAATTGCCTTAATAATGATCGACCCACATCCTAATAAGTTTTTGTTTTGCCAAGTGCCAGGGCAGGGATCAGGTGCCCAGACAATTGGTTCTTTTGGATCCAGAGACAATAAGCACACCAGTGAATAAAGCAATTTTATGCTTTATTATTAAGGCTTAACTCAAGCAAACAGATTTAAACACATAGCATAAAAAGCATACTTAAAAAGCATACATACCAAGCAAGATAATACACAAATCTCTTATAAACTGACAGGAGCTCTTTAATAATAACAACAACAGAAATATCCCAAGGGCAGCCACTTTCCACAGTACCCAGTGCTCATTTCTGTTCAGAATCTCTCCACTTAAAGGCCAATGCTAGGGTTTTTATTACAACCTGGCATTATTATTTCATAGCCCTTCTTCTATGAACAAGAGACTGCAAAACCTTGATTGGGTTGCACATGACTTGGGATTTTCACAGATGAGAAAAGCTTTGCACCTATGTGAAGATCCACAAACACACACACACACACACTTTTCCTTTATTCAGCAAACAAGAATAAAACAGCAAGTAGGCTAGCTAAACATGAGCTCTGAAATTGTAGACTTTTCATAATATGAAGGAGAAATCAAAGTATGTCACTAAAGACCTCGAAATACAATGGTCTTCTTCATTGCCACCACAGCTGTATATTTTCAGAATGAGATGGAAAGTTGGAACATCACAGAATTGCTAGGAAGCTAAGCAGCGATAGCCTAATTCCTACTTGGATGGGAAATGTTCAAGGAAGTTGTAGAGCTATAGACTAGACTAGGAAGTGAAAACATAACAAACCAGAAGCTTCCTGAAAGAAGAGCTGAATGGCAAAATAGGTGTCTGCAGCTCAGATATGGCAGACTTCTTGAGCATCAGAAGTTGAGGACGGAAGGATAGTAATAATAATAATAATAATTTTATTTCTATACCGCCCTTCTCCCGAAGGACTCAGGGCGGTGTACAGCCTATTAAAAGCACAAAGACAAACAACAATTAAAATAATTTAAAATTATTAAATAATCTCAGCTCAATATTAAAACCCCCCAAAATTTAAAACATCCAATTTAAAATCATTACATTGATAGCCCAGCCTGGTGGAACAGCAGGGTCTTAAGGGCACAGCAAAATACCCTGAAGTTGGAGATCTTACGCATTTCCAGGGACAGTTCATTCCACAGGGCTGGGGCTTCCACAGAGAAGGCCCTCCCCCTGGGTGTTGCCAGCCGATATAACTTGGCCGATGGCACCTTGAGGAGACCCTCTCTGTGGGAGCGAACTGGCCAGTGGGAGGCTACTGGTGGCAGAAGATGGTCTCGAGGGTACCTGGATCCTATGCCATGGAGCACTTTAAAGGTGGTAACTAACACCTTGAATCGCACCCGGAAGACCACTGGGAGCCAGTGCAGCTCGTGCAGGAGGGGTGTCATGTGGGCACAACGGGTTGCGCCCATAACCATAGTAGTGACAGTTGGTTTCATTATTACCTTTGATAAAGCTAAGTCTCCTTTTAATATGACTGGAGAAGTGTTGCCTGCAATGCTTTCAATGTCGAAAGTGTGAGGAAGTACAAAAATCTCATCTACAAGTAAGTGGAGTTAAATAGAAGTCAATTACTAGGACTTTAAGAAAAATATGCTATTCTCCCATGGAACCATTGTAGTCAACTACTCGAATCCACAATAATTTACAGCTCTTTCATTTATCTGTCTATTGCTTACACTGATCTACAAATTTTGGGAAATTATCAACTTCCAAGATAAAATGTGTTAATTTTACATATTTTGATTAGTTGAATTAGAAAACAGTTGATAAAGGTGCTGGTTGGCTAACTTTTTCAAGATATTTCACAATAAAGATTCATACCCAGGCGAGTATATTTGCCTACAAGGGAGGGAAATGTCTAAATGGTCATGATGCCTCATAGCTTCTCGACAAAGTTTGGTAGAACAATGAAAATGGTACCACATGGAAGTATATAAATTTATTTTCACTTTGAGAACAGCAAGGCAGGTGACTATGAAAAACACATGGAAAATGCGCTTAGGTCCTATAAAACACTTGGTGCAAACATGTCACTGAAAATTTACTTCTTACACTCGCATTTAGATTATTTCCTTTTGAACTGTGGGGCAGTGAGTGATGAGCATGGGGAGAGATTCCACCAGGATATCGCAGGCATGGAGAAAAGATACCAAGGGAAATAGAGTCCATCCATGCTTGCTGATTACTGCTGGAATGTCCCCAGGGATGATCCTACTGCAGCTCACAAGAGAAAAGCCAAAAAGTTCAGTTTAGATACCGAATACAGATGGAACCTTGTCACTTAATCTGATGTTAGAGTTTGTCAGTTTTTCATGCAAAAAGCATGAAAATGTTACATGAAAAGCCAATAACTGAATGGAAAGGTATGTTATTGGTATCAATAAAAAGATAAATTTACAATGATTGATGTGGCACCATTCTCATTGCTATATCACATTTTGCAGAAAAGTTATGGAGCATAATTGCACATCCCCCTCGTAATTTTCAATTATTTTGATGCAATTTTGATCTTAGAAACTGGAGCCAATTAATACTCCGACTTAATTTTCCTTTATTAGTGACCCAGTTCTGGTAAAATTAAGCTACTTTCATTTCTGAGGCTTTCTCCTTGTAGACCAGTGTTATCCAACTTCACTTCATGCCTCTCTGTTTGAACAAGGCACCATTCTTCCATACTTTTTGACACTGGCACAAGAGTCATAGGCTGAGATATATAATCTTCCTGCCGTTCCTTGGGCAAAATTTATATTCCTCAAATCATTCAGTAGTGTTTGGTTTTTTTAACTTGTCCAATAAACTTAAAACTAATCTACTGTTTAAGGAGGAAGGAAGAGGAAAAAGAAGAGGAAATGGAAGGGTTTTTATACGGAATTCTACAAGATTCTCCGATGTTATGGCTATCCAGATGGAACATCATTTTTTCATTCAAACATATTATTATTATTATTATTATTATTATTATTATTATTATTATGTTGTTGTTGTTGTTGTTGTTGTTGTTGTTGTTGTTGTTGTTGTTGTTGTTAATCTTTGGTGAGATTCACAGCTTTTGAGGCTGGTTAATAGCTTAGCAGCTCGAGTCCTAACCAAGGACTAGAAACTGTTAAGGTATCATCGGAGGATGTAAGCTGTTCTGAGTAGGGTGGTTTTTTGTAGAGTCAAAATATTCAAGTCCGGTAAATTTAGAATTTCTAAATAGTGAGGTAGCCCTTTGGGTATTGCTCCAAGGGCTCCAATTACAATCGGGACAACACACAATTTCTTTTTTCCACAGTCGCTCAACTTCAAAGTTCCCGGTACTTTGTGATTTTTTCTTGCTGCTTATCTTCAATCCGTGCATCACCAGGTATTGCAATGTCAATGAACCATACTTTTTATTATTATTATTATATTATTATTATTATTATTATTATTATTATTATTATTATTATTATTATATTGGTAAGTAGGTGGGCAGATAGGTGCCACAAGTAGCAAACTTCCTAGTGTGACTTAAATATCAATAAATGGGTAAGGATTTGCTTTAAGAGACCTATACGAATGGAAGATAATAAAGACTAATCTCTCTTCAGAATGATGGGCAAATGTTCAGCTTGGGTTTGTTAACCTGTAAGCAATGGAATGTTTAATATGCACATGGAATCCAAAACATGTAAGTGATAATATTGCGGAGAAACAGTGCCACTAGTCAGAGATTATCCCTACTGCACCAAATAGCAAGAAGATTGATTGCTCCTGGGAATAATACTTCTTTAAGGTAATGTAATAGTTTTATATTTTTAATTAGGTAAAAAATATTTCATATTTTTACTGAGACAAACAAGACTCAGATAATATCAGTGAAGGAGGCATATATTTTTTCCATCTAATAAGAACCAGTTTTCCCACTATAGAGAATAATTTTTTGACGTAAAGATATCTTTCCAGTTGGCTGCACATTAATTTGCATGAATTGGGTTTTTTTTTTTCTGTATTATTGTTCTTAGGTATAAGCTTTATTTTTATTTATATTACTTACATTCACACACAATCCTTGTCCACCTTGCCATCTAAGAATTCCTAATGCAATTTATGAGAACTTCCAGACATTTTCTTCACTGTTGTAAGTCTGGTTAAGTTGCATTGCTTTTTTTTTTAATCAATTGAATGAGATTTGATTTTTTAACCATTCTGGATTCTCCCCCTGCCCCCCTGTGCAGAGGTATGACAAATGGCGACACTGTCACTTTTATCCCAAGGCGAAGGAAGCTGTTTGCAATGGACCTGTGTTTCTGCAAAAGTAAACAACCAGTATTTGTGCTTAAAGATGTGGCACCTAAAAGAAACGCATATCAATTGAGAGGACAGTATTTTCCTCCTGCAATTTGCTGCAAGTGTTGGTCTCTGAACACTTAAATTCACAGAAGGAAGTTACAAGAAATGAGAAGAAAACTTTTTTTCTTTGATGCCCCAGCTACAGATTGCCACCCACACTAATAAAAAGAGAGAAAGTATGAGATAGGAATGTAAAACAGATATGCATTTCAAATTGAAAAACCCTGCAAGATTTGTGGTAAAATGCCATTTAAATAAAATCAATAAATAAAGCCTGAGTAGGCTTGGTTATATAATGTGGCAGGAAAAAAGGGTATGATAAATGGCTTGGGGATATATTGTTTGAGACAAATTCCTTCTGTGTCCAATCACACTTGGCCAATAAAGAATTCTATTCTATTCTATTCTATTCTATTCTATTCTATTCTATTCTATTCTATTCTATTCTATTCTATTCTTTGTCTAGTCCATTCCCATTCCATTCCATTCCATTCTATTTGGCGGACTGCCTCTCCCCAATTACATCCAGGGGTGGGCTGATGGGGGTTCGCAGGGGTTCAGGAGAACCTCTAGCTAAGATTCTGCGCAGTTCAGAGAATCTCCAAATCCCAAATCCTGGCTGGCCCCGCCCACTCAGCCCCACCCCTCCCAGGAGTCCCCACACGGCCTGTTTTGGATGCAGGTAAGTGTAGGGTACGCGCAGAGGCTCGGGGAGGGCAAAAATGGGCCTACTGGGAGTTCAGAAAGGCTGGAAACGGGCCTGAGGAGGCCATTTTCACCCTTCCGGAGGCTCGAGGAAAGCTTCCAGAGCCCAGGAGGCTGACTAGGCCATGCCCACCATGGCTACATCCACCCAGCAACCAGGCAGAGAACCCCTTGTTAAAATTTTTGAATCCCACCCCTGATTACATCTACCTGGCCCACTAGAGCAGGAAGGCAGGGTAGCTTCAGGTCCCAATTATCAAGGAAGTACAACTGGTGAAACCAAGGAAAATGGTGGCACCCTCCCTTTTAAATATCTTTCCCCAGAGATAAAGTTGTCCCCCACCTTGTTTTTTTTCCACAAGACTTGAAAGATATGGTTTTGTCAGAGGGATTGGCTTGGGCCAATTAAGGCTTGTCTGATTCTGTTGTTACTGTCATGGAGTAGGGTCTGGGGAGTTAAATTGTGGGTTTGTAATGTTGTATGCTACCTGGAGTTACGGTGTGTGAACTTGTTAAATGAATGAATGAGTGAATGAATGAATGAATGAATGAATGAATGAATGAATGAATGAATGAAT